TATCAATCGAAAGGAGACTGCGACCACACCAGAGGCCACAACATCTTGGTCTTCATATATACTATTCTTAAGTTATGTTTTATTTTTTCATGTTTGAAATCTTTCTTGACGTTGAACATTGTTCCTCTCTTTAACTGAACAGAAATATTTAATGACCATCTCAGCAGAGATGTTCGCTAATTTCACTCTTAGTTGTAAATTACTTAATTTTAACTTGATGGGTGTTCCATAATCCAACTACTTGTCAATGTTAATTTCATCAGAAGGACGGATTATACAACCAGTTCCAGCAAGATACTACGGACTTTCCTAAAATCCTCATGTGCTTGAACTTGATCGTCTAGTAAAAGTGCTAGAATAGAGGCCTGACGATATTCTAATTTTACCACTTACTTCTGACCGATGATTTTCCCTCCCTCGAAGTCAGATAGTTTTGACTGAAGTCTCTTTAAATTCATGTTTTCTTTGTATGATCTTTTGCAAGAGATCTTATAGGAGGCCTCTTTACTTAATAATTATTTCGCCCTTAATTGTTTGTGTTTTTTATCTCATCTTAACCTACTCTCTTGTCAGGTGATTCCTAATCTTCAATTAACTGGCCTGCCCTCCCTCACTGGCTTCGGATCAGGTCTGACCGGCAATGAGGCCGGAAGTAGTTTCACCTCTCATGGCATCCTTATTCCTGGTTACCTACCTGACTACTTTGGCCATGATCAACAACAAATGTACCATTTATCCCTCTCTTCTGGTATCGCAACACACTCCCTACCTGTTGGGGGCCTTATTGGAAGTAGCAGTAGAAGTAGTTGCAGTAGCAATAGTAGCAGCAACAGTAGTAGCAACATTAGCAGTGTTAGTACCGAGGATGGCGGTGATGGCAGCAGTGGTCATGGTAGTAGTCTTAGTGCAGGCTGTTTAACGCAAAACCATCCAAGTTATTTCACTCAAGCAGCAGCTAGCGAGGAATTGAGGCAAGTTGCGGTCAGCGAACCGGAATTCGGCCGGAAGCTTGTTGGTGAAGAAGTAATCCTCGGAAAAGAGTCGCTTGCCTCTCAACAACACCGCCCTTCACGTATGTATCAGCATTACAGGACTCGCCACCTTCAACACTATGATCACCATCCCCAAAGCTGTTTCCCCCTTCAGCACTATCATCAACGCCACCTCCACCATACACATCATCAGCATCACAATAACCAGATCCATCGTTTGACCAGCCCAGCCCAGAACATGCACCAGCACCAGCAATTGCAACTTCAAGCTTCTACTATGGAATCCGGTGGTGTCCCGCCTCCCAGTGCCTATCTTCACCTCGATAGCCAGCTCGGTGAGACGGCATCTGCATACACTGGAGCTACTTCCACCAGTTCATCTTGGCAGGCTCAACTAGGCCACAACATATTTACAGGCACCTCTGCCAGCTGTAACCAGATGGCTACCTCAGCTGCTTGTATCGGCGGTAGCATGAGTGCTCAATTATTGTTATCTC